TACTTAACTTTACATGTGTATCGCCCTTAATATTTTTTAGCCCAATCAGAAATGAAAAAGTTTCAAAGAATACCTGGAGAAAGCAAGAAAGAGTACTTTAATAGGATTGACCAAGAGGCCACTCAAGAGGTTGCAGAGGCTTTGAAAGCATCAAGGAAGATGAGAGATGCAAGAAAAAAGTAGGTCATTTTCCCTTTCTTATGCAAGTGTTCATTATGTTTTACAAGGGTTTAAATTTCAAAGGATAGAATTGTGACTGGTTAAAAAGATGGGTGCACCATGATCATGCTGCTTGCTGGTTTATAAATGATGCTGGGCTCAAATCATATTATCTTGTTGTTAAAAGCCCCAAGCTAGTCATATTTCAATTCAGTACCAAATGACTTACATGTCTGTATGACATTTCCCATATTTTTCTTGTCTGTAATAATCTTGGTTTTCAGCATGTAGTTACACTGTCTAGTAACTCTATGAAGCTTTTTTCAAATCGAGTTTTTGACTTCTTGAATTTTAAATAGTCCTAGGGGTAAACCTCATTGCATTATCCCTCAGTCACCCTTATGATGATTTCCACTTGAATTTCTTACCTTAAATTTTAACAGTAGTCAAAAGACTCAATTAAACTTTTTTAGTTTCAATCTAAAAAATTTGGAACACTTTTTTGGTTTGATTCCTGTTTTCCTTTGGCATTTTAGGCATCTCAAAGACAGAAAGGAAAAGATGAAAGAAAAGAAAAGGTTGTCACAGGAAAATGCCAGCTTTGACCTAACAAAAGGTATATTTTACATGCTGACAAACCCACAAGGACCTTTTTGCCCTGCTGTACTTAAAGGGGAATACTCAGTTGTTAAAGAACATAGAGATTTAAATGGGAAACCTTGTTAAATCCAGTTGCATTAATTTTAAATCAGACTGCAAAAAGAGTCTAACAGGAAAGACTGACAACTTCTAAAAAAACCTTCACAGTTATTCTCATCATGCCTATGAAGCATACAAATATAAGGTGTCATTTAGATGGTAATATTTCACTTCACCCAAAGGCTGCAGCCCCCTGGCCTGTATGCCTATGCAACCAGTTTCATCAATCTT